GTCAAAAGGAACTCGTAGTCGCATTGCTAAGCTCAAGCGATGACTATAGGTCTAGCGTTAGAACGCAAGAACACAACTAGAATCGTCTTTTGTAAGCTCAAAAACTTTGAAGTTTTCTTGGTTTTAAGTAATAAAATATACTTTTTATTAGAATTTCTTGCTGCAAAGGGTTTGAAAGGCCTCTGCCTATTAGAGTAATCACGACATTCCTAATCAATTAAAACTTACTTCAGGTTAGGTTAATATGGTCAATAAGCCGCGCTTAGACCAGTTTGGTTCTTTGCGATACTAGATGTAGTCCAAAAGAGCTAGCTTAGGATGCCTGAGATTGACGCGAATTTTAAGAGAATCTGTGGCCTCACTATTATTACCTCCTCCAGAGTATTATACCGTGGAGACGCCACATGTTTACAGCGTTGTTTTGCCAATGCGGAACTTTCTTTAAGTATCTAATACATCTTTGTTTTTTGCTAGCGGGCGGTTGGTGTTTATAGTAAGAAATTTGATTTCCTCTCACCGACATCTTTCTATAGAACTTTTTTGATTACAGACTTTGAGAAACGTAATACTCATGGTAGGTATTGCAGAGAGAGCTGTAGCGTATTTCTCTGTCATGCAGGAATAAATTTAGAGTCGACCACAAAATTTTTTCTTTTTTTTTTGCATTTTCGCTCTAAAGTAAAATTTGGACTGCAACGCTGAGTTCTTTAGAAAATTTTGACTGATATCTGAAGTTTTTACGTCAACTGGAGCAATCATATTCAAAAGTATGGCGCCGCAGTTTGGACACTCTTACAACTGCCATACGAATTGAACCATCAAAATCAGGTTCGTATTGGAACAACATTATATTTGACATAAATTTTTGTCAAGGACAACTCTACGATCTCCGAGTAAATTGTTCAGTGTGGGCAACTCGAGAATATAGCTGTCATACACACCGAGCGATTAAATTCAAATTCTTGCTTAACGTTTTTCTTCTCTTTTTTTAGATTTTGCCTCATTTTACCCCACTGTATCAACGTTGCACCATTAAGTCAATTAGTAAGCAAAATATTCTTACAGGTCCTTGCATCAGCATGAACATGAAGAAAACCAACAAACAAAAGGTTGTAATGTGAGCATTTTAATTTACAGTCTAATAGTCGATAATTACTTTATGGCCAATGAAAATGAAATCACCGTTGGCATAGCGGTAAAAGCAAATGAAAGCAAAACTTTTCGACAAAAGACCAGCATAGTAAGAGAGCAATTAAAGCTTGGCTACAGCTACTTCATCGGCAAGTCAAAATGACTTGAAACTTCAACATACAAATCGAGAGGATGTACAATAACGGAATCGAACTGAAAAAAAAGACTGCCATGGAGTCGTGCCTTTGTTTTGAATAAATGGCGTTACACCGACGACGATATATGCAAGGTATAACGTATAATATGATGGTGACCCACTTATGTGGTAACTTAAGACCCACATAGTGGCTACGCGAACCATATTCGCATAACGAAGCTTTGGTAACAAATTCTTCGGATTTGCGTGCGAGTTTCATAATATTGCGCGTAAAATAGTGCCAACTCCCCTGCGTTCACCCTCACATGTTGCTAGAAAAGAGCAATACATAGCCTCACGCAATCAACTAATAGTCTCTCTCTAAAACTCTCCAACTTCTACTAACACACACGAACTATAAGTTTTCTACAAACAAATGTAATGGCAACACTTGCAAAATGCCACCTGCCACCAGCAACTCATCGTTTTTTGTATGAAATGCTTGTAAAAGTCGACGTGTTGTTGTTTTAGCGCTTTGAGGCAATCGTCAATCTTCTAATATACACGCAATAAGTCCACTATGGCTCGACCACCCTTCCCTTAATCAAATATTGCGAACCCGGCACTCAAACCAGCAAGATCTTCAAGTTTTCTTCTTCTTTTTACTTTTTTGTTTCTTATTTTTCATTGGCATATTGTGATGTGTCATGTTCGTATTATTTATTGTGTTGCTAATGTTGTTGTTGCTGCTTGTTTTGCTGTTGTAATGGTGGTAGTGACATTTTTACTGCTTGTTGGTTTTAAGAATCGCAGTAAAGTAAGTGGCCGCTAAGGAAGAAATGAAATGAAAAGTAACATAGTTGTGCGAAATTGCCGAGTAAAATAGGTGGAATGCAAGGCTACACTGGGAAAAAAATTGGCAGAAACATTTTTTAACTTCGAAAAAGATTTTTAAAATTTTCATAAAAAAATTTGCTTTGAGGCCATTCACATAGTTTTTAGTAGTATTTATTAAAATAA